CTCTCTGAAATCCATAAAAATATATTTTAAAAAATTATTTTTAAAAGTATGAATGATCTTTAAAGAAAAATCTCCTAACAAAATGGAAAGGCTGTTCCAATGTGCTTCCTTCCTATGGTGGGTCACCTCCGATGCCGGTGCAGGCTGCCCACCTGCATCTTTACCTAGTTTTGGATTTTTCTGATTGGTATAGTGGGGAGGCAATTTAAGTTTCTTTCTAAGGACTGTGCCCGGGCCATCTCCTCTCAGAGCAGCAGATTCAGGGACAATGGTCTCTACGGAGATTAAGCGGGAACCGCTAAACAAAGGGCCTGTCACACCTGAGACGCCCCATCAGGCCCTGAGTTTGGGTGACAGCCACCCTGCAGACCCACGGGTTCCAGAGCAGAGCCATTCCTAGTGATCAAACCCAAACTGTCTGGGGCCACTGGGAAGGGTGTCCCCAGCCCCGACTGAGGCGCCCACAGCTTGCCCGGAAGCAGACCCCACCTCGGAGAACACCTGCGCCTCGGCACTGTGGTGGTCTTTCTTGCCAGACATGAGCATCAACTTGTTCAGAAGCTCCTTCAGCTCCTCCAGGGAGCATCTGCGCTGCTCCTGGCTATCCGCACTGCTCTCAGGGAGGAGCAAATAAAGAGCAGTGTCTGGGGAGATCTGTGGAACAGGACACATTTGGTGGTAATTTTCTGGAGGGAGAACCTCACCCCCATGCCAGGGCATGAGTGTGTCAAGAAAATGGGCATGTCCGGGTGTGGGTGTGTCTAGGCTATGGGCATGCCCAGGAATGGGCGTGTCCTGGAAATGGGTGTACCCGGGGTGTGGGCGGGTCTGGGAAGTGGGCATGCCGGGAGTTGGGGGCTCACCTGCTGGAGCTCAGTGGGCACCTGGATCACATAGATGCCCCTGCTGTTGATGGCTCTGGCCAGTGATAGCGACGAGTGCTCTACTGAGCCGTGGCTCTCCTTCACCTTCTTCAGCCACCCCAAGTCCCTGGCAGAGTCTCGCTGTTGGGACAGGAGAGAAAACAGCCATCCATCGATCCATCCTGTTCTTTCTCTCTTCCTGTGGGCACGGCCCTCCCACCTCAAGGGCAAATGCCTTCTCTGGGCAGGTCAGCCCTCAGGGTGGACTTGGGGGGCTTCCTCCTGCACTGCCTAGACTCTGAGTATCGCTGCCTGTCCTGGGACACCTATGAGGTGTCCTTCAATCAGGGGTGGGGAACCATTTTTCTGCCAAGGGCCAT